CCCCAAAACCCCAAAACCCCAAAACCCCTTAAGATGGTTTGAAGTAGAAATGTCATTAATGAAATTTTTAATTTGATTATAAAACTCTTATTAAAATCCTCAAACTGGGCAGCCATCTACATCTGTGGGGTCAGTGGAAATCCCAGTCTGTTCTTGAGCGCACTCTCTTGCTTGCTAGAGAGATTGCTACTTTTGAATGATTTAGGCAAGGGTCTTAACTGCATTGTAAGGGATGGGCCAAGAACTTTGTCAGGAAGTCGTCGAGATCTAAAATCATTCTCTTCATGTATTCGCTTTCGTAGTTCCCTGAAGTTATTTGCAGGGGATAATATAGTATCTCTTCCTTCATTATTAAGAGCAGTCTGAACACTTATCTCATGATCTGTAGGATTGCTATCATTCTTGCTTGAGTGGGCTATTGTGTATCCTTGGTTAATAAACCTCTTAGAATAATCACTATGAGTATTGGGAGAGACTCTATCTAATGATTTGTTCGATGACTTTGAAGAGTCAGGATAAGCTCTTGGATAGCCCCCTAGTGGACTAATTAATTGAGCTTGTCGAGAATATATCGAGCCCATGTAAGGAGATGATCTGTCACTATTACTCTTTAATTGTCTTGCAAAATCAATCCTAGCCATTGCTCTGGACTTATCATAGCCTGTTGCGTTGTCATGAGAGCTTGGGTTAGATTCTCCATAATTACTGGTGTCCCTGATTGATTTATTGTCAAGGTAATTTCCAATAGTTTTGCTTAGAAAACTACTTTTACCCAAAGAATTAGAAGATTCATTATGGTCTATATTATAAAATTGCACTCTTACTGGTATTTCTATGGCTACTTTTACGCAATTTTGGGTCACTGATGCTCTTCCTCTTATGCTTCTTAGGATATATAGTTGGTATACTCTTCTCACTTTTACTGGAAGATTCTAAAACTTAAGGCTATACAGTACTAAGGGAGCTTTTAACTATACTTTCATGTATTGATTCGTCTATTTTAAGCAGGGATAGACCAGACGGTTCTTTCATATCCTCTGAGACATCTTGGAAAGGTACCAATGGGTCTTCTTTCTTAACTTCCTCTTCTTCTGAGGAATCTGAGCCTAAAAGTAGTTGAATTTGTAAATTTATTCAGAAATTATTGATCATTCCACTTTCTAAGGAGATTCAAATATTTTAGTTTGAACTGACTGGAAAAGAAGTTTGTAAAGTGTAGTTTATGGCAAGTTTACATATCTTCATCTTCTTTGGGCGGTACTCAACAAAACTAATATCATTAGCTTTCGAATGAATCGAGGTCTCAGATTTCTAATTAAACTACTTGAACATCAAACCCTTCCTAAAGATTTACATTAGACCCCCTCAGGTGTGCTATTTCCCAATCGGCCAAGCCTCTTCTTAAGTATGAAACATATATAGCCCTTTCAAAACCCTAACCTGCATTCTTTGTCAAATCTAAAGCTAATATTCTGAAGAAAGGAGGGATTATCTTATCAAATTTACCTGAAAATTCTAGAAGAGAGTAATCATCCCTGATAAAAATGTCCGTTTATTTAAAAATTAGCTTACAATATTTTTGTGGTGAGTACCTTTTTGGTCCTGAAAGGTTCATGTCTTTAATAAGCTTGGGAGTTCTGTAAGAGAAATGGCTGAGAGTGTAAAATGGATGGGAATTTAGTAGGAATTTGTCTCAAAGGTGGTGAGAAGTTATTGGATTGAAGGTATATTGTGTGTATTATGCAGAAAGGGAATCAGATAGGGACTTAAGTTGCAGAAATTTAAACTCTGAGGACCATCTAGTGTAGTAACTTACATATCAAGCTCAACTTTGGTTAACTTTTCCATAATTGGAGGCTTCTGATTAAGTAATTGTATTGCTGCTAGGAAGTAATTCTTCTTCATCTAAATTTTCCTCTCTAATTCTTAATGCAGGGGATTCTGAGTAATTTGAGATTTCGTTCAATTTCTAAAGGCACTTATGGACTAAATTCGATGAAAATAAAAATTAATAGGAAGTCTAATCATACTCTATTAACTTCTATACTAGATTTATGCTTCTTCTGGATCTTCTTAAGCTCTTCAATAGCATCTACATTGCTCTGGTTTGGTTTAATAAACCGCATCTTTGCTAAGATCGGATTTTTAGACAGTTGGGAGCGCCTTTTTCGTAATGGAATACTGGATTTCTGCATTTCAATTACCGAACTACTGGCGTTTGACCTCTGCCCCATGGCTGGAGCCTTATTCTCTTCATCATAATTCTCACTTCCCTCTTCTCTGTCAGGTTCCTTTGGGTGCCTTCACCTGAGGCTTTCGAGTCACTTGAGGATTCATTTACATAATTTGCTGCATCAGCTCATTTATATGCCTGTTTTATGTTCAACATATTTTATATATAATGGGGTTTTGGGGTTTTGGGGTTTTGGGGAG